TGATGATTTCTCTTATGGTTGGCCTACCTGTTGCTCACCATTACCATGAACTGTTGCCACTGGTCCTTTGTGGCCCAAAGACCTCCCTGTTTCTAAGGAGTGGTGAGTCTCCAACTGACCTAATTAAGCAACATCTCAAGAGCAAAGAAAAACAAACAAAAAGAAAAAAAAAAAAGATCATGCGGCGCGCAAGGCACGCCACTTGCTATTCAAAATTCTAAAATTCAGAGAGTCCAAAGGCAAGTAGGGAAGAGCCAGAGGATGAGCTACAGGTCCAGGGGAGACGGGCCTGTGGTTACAGGCCGCCTGGTGTCCGGAACTGCTGGCTGGCCCGATCCGGTTTGCAGGTGGGGTGGGGTGGGGTGCGAGTTCGTCTTAAAGTCCCACGCAACCAACCTGAAGTCCAGAGAAGACTAGGGGTGGGGATGCGCGAAGGTCTCTGGCATATGGGCCTGCAGTCGCGGGCCACCTGGTGTCCGGAACTGTTGACCGGCTCGATCTGGTTTGCAGGTGGTTTGGGGTAGGGTGTGAGTTTGTCTTAAAGTCCCATGCAACCAACCTGAGGTCCAGAGAAGAGTAGGGATGGGGGTGCGTGAAGGTCCTGGGCAGATGGGCCTGTAGCTGCAGGCCTCCTGGTGTCCAGAACTGCTTCACCATTCCTTCTTAATAGCTTTCTATTATTTTTCTATGAATGCACTATCTACTCTCTCTCGGGATATTAGTTACAGTATTTTTGAAAAGAATTGCCGTTTCTGGTATTGCCTCCTTTCTACTCTCCTATTTGTGATCTTTCACATTGGAGGCTTTCTTTTCTTGTCTGGTAGCCTTTTTGTTCCCATTTTAGAGTTAGGGAGAAGCTGATGAGAAGTGTTGTATGCATGGGAGAGCCTGCTGGCCTGTGGGTCTCACTGTAGCATGATGGAGTGGCAAGGATTTCTTTACTTAGCAAATCCCTAAGTGTCTAATCTCAATATATAGTGTGAATATCTGTGTTTTCAGCATAGTCCGTGTCCTTGAGTCTAGGGTTTAAAATGTCGCAAAAATAAAAACCCCATGCTCAATACAATAAATATGAGAAGTGCTCAAATAAAATGAGCAAAGCAGGAAGGACATGAATAGATAGTTTATATCAAAGGAACTATACCTTGTAAAGAAATATAGATAGATGGGACCAGTAGATGGTGTAATGGTTACATCACTGGACTCCCATATGGTCAACTGTGGTTGACTCACACTGAGTGAGTGTGCCCAAAATTCTGAGAGGAGAGTGGAGGAGAAGGAATTGTGGCATGGCCATCCCCCCTGGGGGTGATTTCTTGCGCTCTGTCTCTGTGTCTCCAGTGAGTGCACAAGCCCTATAGCAAAAATCTCTCAAAAAAAATATGTATATGTATATAGATAGGTAACTGTTCAACATCACTAGGAATGATATAATAGTTGACTTTTTTTTTTTAGAGGTTTCTGCTATAGGGCTTGTGCTCTTACCAGAAAGACAGAAAGAGACAGAGATATAGAAAGCAAGAAATCACCCCTCCAGGGGGGATGGTCACGCTGCAATCCCTTCTCCTCCATTCTCCTCTTGGGATCTTGGGCACACATGCACATGCGCCCAGTGTGAGTTTGTGCCACTGGGTCTGGGACTCGAACTGCAGTCAACTACATGGGAGTCCAGTGACATAGCCATTATGCCAATTGCTGGTCCCAACAGTTGACATTTTATAGAGTTTTTTAATTTATAATTATAATTTTTATCATTTTTATAAAGTCTTTTGAATCAGTTTTTTCTAGTAATAACTAAGTGTATGCTAGTACATTACTTATCCTATGTAAATTTATGTATTATGACCCTTTTGGAAAGTAATTTGAAAACAACGTATCAAATCAGAAAAATGTTCACTTCCTCTGATCTTATTGATTCAGCATTTTTTTAAGCGAATACTTAGTTTATACTGATTGTTCAGCTAAACACTAGAGAGTTGGGTAGAAAGCAAGCAAGACAAAGTCTAAAGTCTCTACCTTTTTTTTTCCTAGTTTGCTTAGGGTGCATGTCCCCAAAGAGAGAGAGAAAGTTAAAAAAATAATAATAAAAATAAAACAAAGAAACCACCTCTCGAGGGTTGGTTATCCATAATTCTTTCTTCTCCATTTTTCTCTCAGAATTTTGGGTGCACATGCATACATACTCACCCAGCTTGTTTTTGAAGTCACTGGGTTCTGGATTCAAACCATATAGTTAGCCGGGAGGAATCCAGCTACATTAACCACTATGCCATGTCTGGCCCTCTACCTTTATTTATGCATATATGCTCAGAAATTTTTGGAAAAAATTTCACATGCATGAAGATCATATTGTTTATCCCACTCTCTTAGTTCTTCTACTTCACTGTAGCCACTTGTAGCTCTATGGTTTCTCCTGCTGGTTCCTCTTTGTCTTTATCTTCCCTAATTATGGACGCTGGAAGACCTACAGCTCAGTCCCTGGACCTCTTCACTTCTCATTTTGTTGTCTCGTTGACTCTCATATTATTTTTATGATGATAATTCCCAAAGTCATATCTTTAGCTAGAACCTCTCTCTTGACCTAGACTTACGTATTCAATGACCTTTTTGACATCTCTATTTGTATATCTAGTAGGAGTCTTAAACTTAACCTTCACCTGAACTTTTTTCATCCTGTCCAGAATTATTCCTCCCACTGTCTTCTCATCTCAGTTCTAATTACATAATCATCGAGATACTAGACCAAGAATACAGTGTTTTTTACTTTCTTTTTCTCACGTACCTGTAACCTATCAGCACATCTTGATTACTTGTGATAATCCAGACTAACCATTTTTCACTGTCTTTGCTACTGCCAACCTGGTCCAAGCCATTGTTTATTACAGCAGCATCCTAACCTCCCATCTTCCCCAATTCAGCATGTTCCCAGTACAGCAGCCAGCATGATCCTTTTAGAATGTAGGTTAGACCTTGTCTCATCTAACCTTAAAGCCCAAAAGTGGCTCTCATTCTCAGAGTAAATGCCAAAGTTCCTTCAAAAGCCAACAAAGCCCTACAGTAGTTTGACCTTTGATCTGACAGATCTCATTACCTACTGTTCTTTCTCTTCACTCCCACTGCTCTAGCCACTCTGCCTTCTGAGCATAATAGAGTCTCTCCTCAGGATTTCAGCACTTGCCATTCCTTTTGCTTATAACGTTCTTCACCTCTTCGTTCTTCACCTCTTTGGCCTCATGTCCTGCTCGTTTGCCTCCTTCAGGCTTTTTACTATAATGAGGCCTTCTCCAATCACCCTAATTAAAATCGCTGACTTGTAACCTCTTTCTATACTTTTTCCCTACTTAAGATTTCTTATTAGGGGAACCAGCAGTTAGCGTAATGGCTATGTCGCTGGACTCCCATGTAGTCGACCGCAGTTCACGTCCTGGGCCCGGTGGCTTAAAACTCACACCAGGCGCATGTGCGTGCGTGCCCAAGATCCCGAGAGGAGAATGGAGGAGAAGGGATTGCGGCGTGACCATCCCCCCTGGGGGGTGATTTCTCGCTTTCAGTCTCTATGTCTCTCTCTGTCTGTCTGGCGAGCGCACGTGCCCTATAGCAAAAACCTCTCCAAAAAATATATATATATATCTATTTCTTATTAGCCATGATACTTTAGTTGTCTATTTTCTCTCCAGCCTAGAATATAAGCTTCATAAGAACATGAATTTTTGCCTGTGTTTGTTCACATTATACTATGTAGTACTGTATAGATCAACGCCTGGCAGTGTAGCAGGTGCCCAATAACTGTGTGTTGAATTGACGGATAGATAAATGAATGGCAAAAAACTGGAAGTAACTTAGTTGCTAACATTACCAAAATGGTTCATTAAGATATCCTACATTCACTGTTTTGGAATATTGCAGCTATTTAAAATGTTCACCAAGGGGCCAGCAGATGGCATAGCAGTTACATCAGTGTACTCCCACATATCCAACTGTGGTTCGAGTCCTGGACCCAATGGCTTGAAAATTACACTGGGCATATATGAATGTGTGCCCAAGATCCTGAGAGGAGAAAGGAGAAGGGATTGCAGTGTAGTCATCCTCCCAAGGAGTAATTTCTTACCTTCCCTTTCACTGTCTCTCACAGAGCACACATGCCCTAAGACAAAAATCTCTTTTAAAAAAAAGTTAATCAAAACTGTAATTTTATAGGAAAATGGTCTTGATAGAAAATAAAATTATATTGCCTGTGGACTGAAAGAAGAGAATTGTGGTGTGACTAGACCCTGTGGAGGGTGCTCTTCTCTCTCTTCCCTGCTCCCTTGCTTTCTCTTGTGTACACACATGTGCTCTGTCATGAATAAAGGGGAAAAAAATAGATCAAAATAAAAATGGTTTTTATTCTGTATCTGGCTGACTTTTTTAGGGTTGATTTTATTAATACTAATACTTTATTATTTTATAAATATTCTTTAAAGTGGTTATATAGCATGCACATTATAATAAACTTGCAGAAAGAGTTATGTGATACAGCACATAACCCTAGTTTATGATCTCCTGTATGGAGATTTATTATCTATGTAGTAATGTATCAAATTCTGGTTGCTTCAGAAATACGTGGTCTTTAGCTTTCTCAGGAAGGTACTACAATATACACCAACATGTCTTTTTTTTTTTTCTTTAGGTTAAAAAAAGGCTTTTGGGGAGCAAAATTTCATTTTCAGTTTTAAACAGTAGGCACTCAGTTAGCTATAGTACCTATCATATGCAGGGCCTTATACTCAGTGACACTAAAGTAGTATGAGTCAAGTTTTTTTAAGCATACTCAAAACAAGAAATAAATACACATAGCCCTTAAGAAATATATGGTTTAGTGGGGAAGATAGATAAACCCACCGTCAGCTATGTAACAGTACAGACTAGCAAATGGCATAGCAGAACTGCTCACAGTTGCTATAAAGTTTTCCTTACATTATACTGTGAATTGGGACTAAACTAGTCTTTTCCTTCCCCAGAGTCTTTCTTCAGTTCGTGTGGTAGTTTGCATAAATTAAGTGAAGAACCACTGATTCCTCCTCCTCTGCCTCCTCGAAAAAAGTTTGATCATGATACTTCAAATTCCAAGGTAGTCAACAGGACTTATATCTGCCTTAACTTATTCAAAGTTGGACTTATTTTTATAGAGTCTGTCACATTATATTTTGTCAATGCTTTATGGTTTTTCAGCACATGGGTTGTTATATTTGAAACATACTTTAAGAAGTAGCTAATCCTCATAAGAAACCTTTTCTTAAAAAGAGGTTGGGGCTGACCCTCTAGCTTAGTGGTTAAGGGAACCAGATCCTATGTGACCAACTATAGTTTGAACTGCGGCCCTAGCAGCTGAGAACTTTACCAGTTGCATGTGCATGTGTGCCACCCAGCCCACCAAGAAAAGAGACTGGGGAGATTCACATATCAGAAGTACACATTCTTTCTAGTACAGATGGAAAGAATTGTAGTGTCAAGGTGTTCTTCAAACTTTCAACTAGTGCTTCTCGAATTTAAAAGTGCATCAGAATCACCTGGAAGGTGAAACCAGATTATTGAACCCCACCCCTAGAGTTTCTGATTTAGTAGGTCTGGGATGAGGCTCAAGAATGCTTTTTCAAATTCCTTAATGGTGTTAATGCTGCTGGTTCCTGGATCATCCTTGAGATTCACTTTTCTAAGCTCATTAGGGAAAGTATAAGTACTTGTCCAATAAGCTGAAATTGGTAAGTCCTCTTGATATCATGCCCTTTAATGACTATAAAGCTAAGTATTATTTTTACTTACCTATTATTTTGACTAAAATACATAAATTTATTAAATGTATACACAAAGCAATATAACCCAAGATTTTATGTTCTAAGATTTCAATGAAAACATCTCATACATGGGCCAGCAGGTGGTGTGATGGCTAAAGTGCTGGATTTCTACATGGTTGACCATGGTTTAAGTCCCAGATCTAGTGGCTTTCTTTCACATTTTCTCTCTCTCTGTCTGTCTGGGGAGCACACACAAAATTTAAAAATAATAATAAATAAAAACATTTTAAAATCTTATATATAAAAATACTGTACTGAACTGTAAAATAACTGTGAAAATTTATTCATAAATCCAGTAATTAAACCAGGTGAATTTATTTTGAGCTTCTTTATTTAACTTGGTACATAAGGATTTTTCAGTCTTTAAAAATATTTTATTACAGATTTTTCAGGAAAAGAAATACAGTTTAATTAATTTTTTTTTTTAGGGAAATATGAAATCTGATGATGACCCTCCTGCTATTCCACCAAGACAGCCCCCTCCTCCAAAGGTAAAACCCAGAGTTCCTGTTCCTACTGGTGCATTTGATGGGCCTCTGCATAGTCCACCTCCACCACCACCACCACCACGAGATCCTCTTCCTGATACTCCTCCACCAGTTCCTCTTCGACCTCCAGAACACTTCATAAACTGTCCATTTAATCTTCAGCCACCTCCACCGGGACATCTTCACAGAGATCCAGACTGGTACAGAGACGTTAGCACATGTCCAAATTCACCAAGCACTCCTCCTAGTACACCCTCTCCAAGGGTACCACGCCGATGCTATGTGCTCAGTTCTAGCCACAATAATCTTGCTCATCCTCCAGCTCCTCCTGTTCCACCAAGGCAGAATTCAAGCCCTCACCTACCAAAACTGCCACCAAAGACTTACAAACGGGAGCTTTCACATCCCCCATTGTATAGACTGCCTTTGTTAGAAAATGCAGAAACTCCTCAATGACCTTAGCCATATGTAGTCATTGACACTGGAATGGTATTTGTAAAGTTTTTTTTAATTTATTCAAAAAAGGCATAGTATTTTAGTACATTTTACAAATAGTACTCTTATAAAAATGCTACTGATCAAATAAGCTATTAAAAATTGGAAAAATAAAAATAACAAAAGTCCTTCACCACTATCCTCAGGTGATCAGTAGCATTGCCTTGTCTTGGATCCTCAGTGCTGCCAAAAGGCCAGTATAAAGAATTTATATTTGCACTGTAGACTCTGCTAAAATAGGGTTTAAAGTGACATTGATTGCACTGAAAGGGGATAGTGCTTTTGTGGAATTTTTGAAATTTGAGGAATAAGATGCCTTTTTAAGGCAATAAATTATACAAATAGAGAGGGCGTAAGACGTTACCGATTTTTAAATCTCTTTGACCATCTGCTAATTTTTAATTCTAGTTTTTACATCTAGGAGAATTGTGAATAATACCAACTGTTCTTAAACTCTTTAATGCCATGTCTTAAATGCCAGTATTTGCTGCTGAAGACAAATATGAAAAGTAGAATGAAAATAATAGAATGCACTGTTTATTATTTCTTCAAAATGTAAAGAAAGACTACATAATGCAGTTATAGAGGAAAAAAGGGCATGTATCTCAGATGTGCCTTTTGATTTTGCAGACTATTGTTCTTAGCTAATGAGTTGCCTATTGTTTTGGAAAACAGTAAATATGACATGTATGTACATTTTGTTTATATTGTACAAAGATAATGCTAATAACCTATATAAATTTAAGTGACTTGAGGTCTATAATACAATCTGCTACTTTACTAATTGATAAATTCAGAGAAGTTTCCTATTAGGAACCAACTGCCTTGCCTTCAGAATTTAGTAACTTTCTCTATTGATCTCATGTTAATTGAAATTAAAAAAATTTTTTTTAAGATTGGTAATAACTAAACCAGCAAATACTTAAAAGCTTTATTAAACTTTTTGATCAGAAGAATAAAACTTTTAATTGCCATTTGGACACCATTGTGAAAGCGATGAAAAGCGTGTTCTGCTGATAGTGTCGTAGCAGCAGTTGTAAAGTAGCCAAAAGCCACGTTGTTTATTTACTGGTCTGTGGCCTTTTACTGTGCTTTGTATCAGAGTTCTTAACAAGATTAATAAATCACCCCAGTCTTAATTTTTAAAAGACTTTTAAAAGATGTGTTTTTATTACAAGGAACAAAGGGGGAAAAGTGTTGAGTCCTGTGGAGAGACACACATAATTTTCAGTATTTTTGCGCAACTTAAGTTACATAATCTCAAATAATTAAAGTGATGTAAATTTTAAAGGGATAATTTTGTCTTCACTGTCAAACACAAGCGACAAGCTTCCAGCAACTATTTTTATGGATTCATATAGAAAAACCTAGGAGCTTGCTAGGAAACTCCTGAGGATTGCTTCCAATGTAGGTAGGCTCTTGGAAGCTGTCCGAATTTAATGAAGGCCAATAAAAACTGTGTGAATCAATCTCCGACTTCATCAGAACACTGTGGTGGGTTTGATTTTTAAAGAATAAATCATAATGCTACGTGTTAAGGCAAAGTGATTTGAAGTGCCCGTTCATTAAATCAAACGTGACATAGGAGAGTGACAGGCCATCCTATGCTCACGGGAAGTGCGTGACTCAGCTCCCGGCCACGCTGGGGTGACGAGACTTTTGAGTGCTTTTGTTAACTCGCGCACGCGCGGTGGCGCCAACTCGCCACTAGGAGGCGTGGGCTCCTGGCCGGGCGGGGCCGCCGGTGTGTGCGCATGGTTGTGACGTCAGTGCATGCGCCGCATCTTGTTGCCGGGCAGCGATGGCCGCTACGCTGGAGTCTCCGATGGAGGACCCGCTGCGGAGCTTTGTGCGAGTCTTGGAGAAGCGGAACGGCACAGTGTTACGATTCCAGCAGTATGGCTCCGGCGGCGTTGGTTGTGTTGTTTGGGACGCTGCCATTGTCCTTTCGAAATATTTGGAAACGCCCGGGTTTTCTGGCGACGGCGCTCACACTCTGAGCCGGCGGTCTGTGCTGGAGCTGGGTTCTGGTACCGGGGCGGTGGGACTCATGGCCGCTACGCTCGGGTAAGAGCTGGAGGGAGGGGGTGACGCTTTGCTCCGGGAAACCTGGATTACGTGCTTCCCACTCTGTGCTTCCTGCTCAGGCGACGTTATTTTATAGGGCAGACGTTGTAGTCACCGATCTTGAGGAATTGCAAGACTTGCTGAACATGAATATTAATATGAACAAACATCTTGTCACTGGTTCGGTTCAAGCCAAGGTACTGAAATGGTTTGTATGGCCTTTCAGCTTGTTTTAAGATAACGATTTGTAGTGCGCTTTAAAGTGAATTTCACTAAAAGTGTGGAAAAGGAGTTTCCGTTCTTGTTTATAAAACAAGGGTGTTTAAAATGGATTAAACTGACAGTTAAAAATGGATGTTTGACATTTTTAAGGGGGGAAGAAATAGAAGATGTTCCTTCTCCACCAGACTACATACTGATGGCAGACTGCATATACTATGAAGAGGTAAGTATTCAGTAAGTGAAGTCTCTTTCTTTAGAAGGTGAACTGTGAATTCAGAATATTTGTCTTATAGCTGAGGACATGTAAAGAAGATAAAAGTCACCAGGGACAACGTATATACATTTACTAACATACAGGCCTGTGAAGCATGCTGAGAAGTGTTGTTATAATATATGCAGTTTAGTGGGGTCTTCTGTAAACTTTAAAAAGCATTTTGCCATTTGGCATGTTATGAAAAAGCGAAGATAATTTTTTTCCTTAGCCATTCCCAGTGATCACGTTAACCATGACATTGAGAATTGAGTTGCATTATAAAGAATTTGTTGTCCTATGGCAACATTTATTAAACTCATGAAATTATTTTTTTTTAAATGACAGTTTCTATAGCATTATGGGCTATACTTACTTTTAAAATAATGAACATTGAACAATCAGTGTTCACGTTAGGATCAGACAGGGTATGTTTATATTCCTAGTTATATTAGATGAAAGGAAACTGAACTTTTAAGAGGGAAACTGATTCCATTTGTTTTCCTATGGAAATTCCAAAATGCAGGTACTTAAAACCTTTTCAGGAAGTGGAAATCAGTACAATGATCATTTAGTTAAGAGGAGTTTACCAGTCATTAGTTGTAGAGCTTTAACTACATGTGTTTTATTATATTGACTCAAGATGGATAAATTGCAGGGGAGTTAAAATTGCCCCCTCGACTTCTTCAGCCCTCCCTCCTTTTTTTAATGCTAGAAGCAATATATGTGAGGGAAGAGAAGCACCCTCCAGTGGGGGTCTCTTCATACCACAGTCATTTTTCCTCTAATTCTCCATCCCACAGGATTTTGGGCATCTATGTTCTTTTTTTTTTTTTTTTTTAATACTTTTTTTCTTTATTTACATTCATTCACTGTACATCATTATAGCATACAAAATGAGATTTTTCCATTGAGAATACACTTTATATTGGCTCAATCAAGCACATCAACATATGTGTTATTATCAACAAATCATTTTCCATTTCTTGTTTTCTGTATATTTTGCCTTTTTTCCCATCCTTGATTCCCTATCTCACCCTCTGCCATCTCCCACCCTCCTCCCACACTGTGTCTGGTATCTATTGTTGCTTTCTATGCCTCCCCCATTTTATTGTTTCACTAAATATCTTAATAAATCTAAATATTTTCAATAGCAAGCACAGCTGATATGTACATATCCATGAACACAAGACTGACTCTAGGCATAAACCTCAGTGAATAGAATGAACATACTGTAAAGTAGCACCTAACTAGGGCTATATAGCTTAACTGCAGTCATCAAATAGGTATTTCTAATGCCTTTTTTTTTTTCTTCTGAAAATTTTTTTTTTATTAATTTACATTCATTCCCTGAGCATCATCACAACATTCTAAATGTGGTTTCCCATCTAGAATATACTATATAGTGGCTTAATAATGCATGTTATCATCCATAATATTCCATTTCTACTTTCATATATATGTTTTTTACCCCATGTCTAGCCCTCTGCCCTATTCCACTCTCTTATTACACTATCTCTGCTGTCTACAGTTGTCTTCAATTCCTTTTCCCCCAACATTTCGTTGATCACACAATATCATAAGTAATCTAACTACTTTCAATAGCAAGATCAGCCGATGGTTTCAAGAAAAGCAGTTTTGAACTGGTAAGGATATTTCTTTGAAACTTAAAGCCTAGAAACAGGTTAGTATTCTGTTCAAATAGTCGGAACATGAATCTATTGATAGCTGAAGACAGGACAAAAGTCCTTAAAACCAGACAACAAAGCTTAGAAGAAAAGCAGCAATATTTTAGTCAAGTCGTAGAATACTGTTTCATCAGTTCAGTCTCATGTACTTAATCTTTCTTCTGTATCTGTTGAGGTTCGATGTTCCAGATTGAAATCTGGGATGTAATACTCAACTCCAGCTTTTGGCCCTACAATTAAGTTGCCCATTTTCTTAGTTTCTGAACTCTTATTTCTGTGTGTCTGCATTTAATTTTACTGACATAGCACTCCCTTAAGAACTTCTTGGAGATCCGGTCTGGTGCTGGTAAATTCTTTCAGGTTTTGTTTATCTGGGAAAGTTCGTGTCTTTTCTTCCCAAATGAACGATAACCTTGCTGGGTACAGAATTCTCGGTTGAAATTGCTTTTCCCTTAATACTTTGAATACATTTTCCCATTCTCTCCTCGCTCTCATTGTTTCCGATGAGAGGTCTGCCGTTAGTCTGATGGGATACCCTTTGTAGGTAACTTGCCTTTTTTCTCTTGCCAGTCTTAGTATCTTGTCTTTGTCTGTGGTTTTGGTCAATCTGGCTATAATGTGTCTTGGAGAAGATCTTCTTGGGTTGATTCTATTTGGGGTCCTCTGTATTTCTTGGGACTGAATCTTTGAGTGCCTCTCCAGGTTTGGAAAATTTTCTTGTAAGATTTCATGGAATAGATTATCAATGCCCTTATGAGTCTCTTCACCTTCTGGGATGCCTATTATCCGGATGTTTGGACGTTTGATGGTATCTAGTACTTCTCGCATATTATTCTCAAATTTTTGGGCCATTTTCTCAGTCTTCGCGGTGGATTTTTCTAGGCCAACCATTTTCTCTTCTACATTAGAGATTCTATTTTCTGTATGATCTAGTCTGCTTTTAATACTTTCAAGGGAGATTTTGACTTCTTGTATTATAGCCTTCATCTCTAACAGTTCCATCTGATTCTTTTGTAAAGTGTGAAATTCCTCTTTTAGATCTAGCATGAATTTCCTCACCTCCTGGAACTCTTCAACTCCTTTCTCCTTCCTCTTCAGCAGTTCCTTGTCTCTCTTCTCTTCCATCTCTGTTAGCTTTGCCATTATGAATGTTCTGAATTCTTTATCAGACATTTCCATGATTTCCATTGAACTGTGTGTGGATAAAGAGGAGCTATCCTTTTCCCTTGTGGGAGAGGTATTTTCCTGCTTCCCCATATTTCTTGTGGTCCTGCAGCGATTTCTAGTCATCTGGTGGATGGTCGGTTTCTTCCCAAACACGCGAGTTTTGGATGCTGGAGGCCCAGTTATCAGTGGGACATCTTCCTTTCTCCCCAAATGGCTAGATCACAGGAGCCATGGAGCTGTCTGCCTCTTCGGCATCTATGTTCTTTAAGCCATGGGGCTGGGACTTGAACTCTGGCTGGCCATGTGGGATCTGGCTTCCTTTGTGCAGTGTGTAACTGCTGCACTATGGCAACAGCACTTCCACCCTTTTTATGTTAGTAAATTAAGTCATAAAATAAATATATATTTCTTTTTCAATAGTCTTTGGAGCCATTGCTGAAAACTCTAAAAGATCTCAGTGGACCCGAGACTTGTATTATTTGTTGTTATGAACAACGAACAATGGGGAAAAATCCAGAAATTGAGAAAAAATACTTTGAGGTAAGTACTATATAGATGTCTTTGGTAGTGATCATGCTTCACAGAGGCTAGATGTGACTCTGGTAAAGTATATTACGGGTGGAAAACATTCTGCCTGTGTGAACCCAAGGAGAGAATCCTTCATAGCTCACCATTCTACTAAGCCCTGACTTTTTCATCTTTTCTGATTCTGGAAACTAGTTGACCAGGTATCTATAGAACAGTGCAAAATAGTATGACTTTCCTTTTCTGGGAAAGTTTTCAATTTTCCTTTATTATACATGATGCTGACTTTGACGAACATCTTTAACAGAGTATATGCTACTTTGGGAAGCTCCATGATAGAAATGTGCAGGTGATACATTTTTACTTCTTTGTTTCTCTCTACATTTTTATAAAACTTTTGATTTAGGTAGTTGCTTTTCAGTCTTTTTTTCCCCATGAAGATTCATAGGAAGTTGCAAAATTAATGCAGAGAGTCTTGTGTGTCTTTCCCCAATGAAGACTCAACCCTTTAAAAAAAAAAAAAGAATAATTTTTATTTATTTAATTCCATTTGTTGTTATTATTTTTAATTTGACCAAAGAGAGAGAGAACGGAAAGCTAGAAAGCAAGCCACCAGGTCTGGGATTCAAACCATGATCAGCTATATGGGAATCTAGCCTACCACGCCACCTGCTGGCCCAAACTCAACCCTTTTTTTTTAGGGGCAAAAAAATCTATTACGTTACAAGTGACTTCTTTTTTAAAAAAGAATTATTGGGGCTGGCAGGTGGCATGGTGGTTAAGGCATCCTGGTGCAAGTTGAAGGCACTGGATTCCCACATGGCTGACCGTGGTTCGTGTCCCAGACCTAGCAGCTCGCTTTCTCACTTTCCCTTTCTCTCTCTCTCTCTCTCTCTCCTTCTCTCTCTCTCTGGTCAAATTAAAGAATAATAACAAATGGAATTAAATAAATCTTTTTTTAAAAAAGAATTATTTAATTTTATTTATTTATTTTTCTTTTTTTAATTACTTATTTGATTTTATTTATTGTTATTTTTAAATTTTGCTATTGGGCACACATGCTCACCACAGTAAAAGAGAGAGAGAAAGTGAGAAAGCAAACCTCCAGGTCCAGGACTCGAACCGTGGTCAGCCATGTGGGAGTCCAGTACCCTAACCACCACACTACCTGCTAGCTCCTCATTTTTATTTCTTAACTTGACCAGACAGAGACAGAAAGTGAGAAGGAAATTGAGAAAGCAAGTAATCAGGTCCAGGATTCAAACCATGGTTGGCCACATAGGAGTCTAGTGCCTTAACCACTACACCACCTGCCATCCCAGAGGTGACTTCTTTTGAGGGTACATCTAGGTAGTCTTATAGTTTTGTCTGTTGAAAAGACTACTTTGGGGGCCAGCAGGTGATGTGGTGGTTAAGGGTGCTGGACTCCCACGTGGATGATCACAGCTCAAGTCATGGACCTGGTGGCTTGCTTTCTCACTTTCTCTATCTCTTTCATTCTGTTCCTTTCTGGTCAAATTAAAATAAGTAAAGTTAAATAAAATTTTTAAAAAAGAAAAGACTACTTTGGTTTAATGAGAAAGCAGGTATGGGACTGTCTCATATAACATGCAAAATGGCTTTTCATTTTCATATTTTTCTTTTCTTCCTTTTTTTTTTAAATTTGCCAGAGGGTATGTGTACTCTCCACAGAGAGACAGAGACAGGGTGAGAAAGTACCCCAATGGGACATGATCACACTTCTCTATTTCTCCATCCTGTCAGGATTTTGGGAATACACATGCACACGCTTGATGTATTTTTCAAGTTGCAAAGCTAGGAGTTGAGCCACACAGCTGGCCAGTGCAATCCAGCTCTAGCCACCAGGCCAATGGGCCGGCCCTTCTTTGTTTTTCTTGAATATGAATGATGTTATTGAGCTTTTGATACCATATAAAGTTGAAATTTTTATATCGTTAAACATGCCTTTTAATTGCCAGAAGACATATGCATTCATTAGAGAGAGACAGAAAGGAAGAGATAGAAGGAGGAGGAGAAAGCATCCCCCACAATGGGGCATGATCATGCTGCAGTCCCTTCTTCTTCATTTCTTCATCCTGCTAGAATTTTGAGCATGCACACACCTGCTCCTGGCATGTTTTTCAAGCCAGCCAGGGCTGGGATTCCATTTGCACTGTAGGCATGTGGGATCTAGCTCCCTTAACCCCTAGGCCACTAGGCTGGCCAGGTTAAACAATTTCAATCGGGGTAAAAAATGTAAAATGGACATATATTTAGTGGTCAGCTCAGTTATTCATGTGCTTAATGCATAAGTGCCACCTGACATAAACTGCTACCGAACATTTCCAAGACCTTAGAAAGCTGTCACATGATCCTTTCCCAGGAAGTGGTTAGTTACCTCCTCTAAAAGTAACTGCCAGTCTGATTCTATCACCACAGGTCAGTTTATATTATTGAATTTGAAGTATATATATCTCTCTTTTGAATTTTTAGCTCCTTCAACTAGACTTTGACTTTGAAAAAATTCCTTTGGAAAAACATGATGAAGAATATCAAAGCGAAGATATTCATATTATATACATCAGAAAGAAAAAATTGGTAAATACATTCCCAGTTCTTCAGTTTCTGAGGAGATTTTTTCATCAGCTGCACATTATCTGGACTTATGTCTGTGTAGGCCTTGATTCTGATGTGGAGAAACAGCTATGATGTTTCACTGGACTCAGGTACCCCCAACATTTTAGATCACTTGCTTTAGGTTCCTGCTCTAAACTAAGGCAGGCTTTTTTAAAAATTTATTTTAACACCCATTTATTTATCTATTAATTTGTTGTGATTTTAGGGCTGCCAAGTCCAGGGCTTGAACCATGGTTAGCCATGTGGAAGTTCAGTCCCTCAACCATCATGCCACCTGTAGGCTCCAGGCAGGCTTCTTTTTAAATGTCATTTCTAACTATAATTATATAGCTTTATGACTGATCATTACCCTGAATGACTTAACTATTTATAAGTTTCTACTATCTCTGTTGTGAGTTTTTAAATGCCAGTTCTGGGCCAGCCTATGCGTGGTGGTGAAGGCGGCTGGATCCCACATGGCCATCTGTGTGGTTCTGAGTCCCAGAGCTGATGACCTGAGAATTACTTAGGACGTGTATGCGTACATGTCCAAAATTCCAATGTGAGGGAGAGACGGAGGAGAAGGGATTGTGGCTTGACCATCCCCCGTGGCAAGTGCTTTATCACTTTCTCTTCTCTCTCCCTTTGTTTTTCTCTTCTTTTTTTTAAAGAGGTTTTTGCTAAGGTTGCGTGCGCTCACCAGACAGACAAGAAAGATAGAAAGCGAGAAATCACCCCCCAGGGGGGATGGCCATGCCACAATCCCTTCTCCTCCATTCTCCTCTCGGGATCTTGGGCACTCATGCACATGCGCCCAGCGTGAGTTTAAGCCACCGAGTCCGGGACGCGAACCATGGTTGACTAAATGGGAGTCCAGCGACATAGCCATTACGCTCACTGCTGGTCCCCCTTTGTTTTTCTCTTAAGGTGAGTGCATACACCCTCTGGCAAATTTAAAAAAAAAAGAAAAAAAGAAAAAGAAATCTGCCCTTTATTTTTTCATTATTATTAGAGGGTACATGTACTCGTCAGAGAGAGAAAAAAGAGAGAGACAGCACCTCCAGATGGGACATGATCATTCTGCAATTATTTTTCCTCCATTCCTTCTCCTTGTCAGGATTTTGGGCACATAAATATGTGTTTTTCAAGTACCTAGAGTGGGATCCAGACCATGGTCTATATGTGGGATCTAGCTCCCTTGACCACAAGGCTACAGGCAATTTGATCATTCAGACTTTTTTCTGATGGATTATTTCTTTGGGGATAGGGGGACAGCCGGAGTCTTACCATACTACAGTTCTCCTTACAGCTGTTCAGCTTGCCAGAATCACTGGTGTGCCCAGCATGTGCTGGTCCTCTGGGGATCTAAATCCTATGTCTTCCCATATGCCTCTCCTAGCACACAGTAGCTCCCTACCACCTGTAGGACAAGAGAACCTGAGGACCAAAGCTGGACCTCAGTTTCCTTTTCAACAAAGTACAATATAACAAGGCAGATTTATCCATACAGAAAAATGTAGTCAATTGAGAGAGAGAGGGCATGCACGTCTGGAAGGGAGAGAGAGAGGGACAGGTATTTTTTTGACGAGGCCTTACCATTAAGTTCCCTGTTGCAGCCTCCCAGTTATCTAGGATTCTGGGTGCATTCTACTGTGCCCAGCTTGTTCAGGTTGATCTGTGCCCAAACCTGCATCTCTCACGTGGCCTCAGCGTGTGACAGGACCCCCCTACTCCTTAGGTAACTGAAGCTGAGCCTGCCCCCCTTATTTGGTCATCTTTTACCTGGTGTAATAATCACATGTATGCAGGTTGCCTCTGTGGCACCTAGAGTTTGATACTGAAGAAGGAAGAATTGCATCTGATCTATTTTTGTACCTACAGTGCTTTTTGTATATGTGACTGGTATAAGACTAGGAGATACAAGTTTTATGAATTGAGAATGCTGGGGTGTGGTAGATGACGTAGTTAAGGGCACTGGACTCCCACATGGCCGACCATGGTTTGAATCCTGGACTTGGTGGCTTGTTGACTCTCACTTTGTCGCTCTCTGGTCAAATTAAATAAATTTAAATAAAATTTAAATAGAATAATTTTTGAAAAAACAAATGCTAAATTTGGGGCCAATAGGTGGCATTGGAGGTTAAGGCAACTGGATCCCACCCTGGTTCAAGTCCCAGACTCAGTGGCTTGAAAATCACACTGGGCAAACGTGTACTTACCCAAAATCCTGAAGGGAGAAGATATTGTAGTGTGGCTGTCCCCTCTAGAGGATGGTTTCTCTCTCTGCCTCTTAGTCTCCAATGAGCACATATACCCTATAGTAAAAACTTTAAAAAGAAGAATGTTAAACGTGGCCTAGTCACAGTGGCGCGTGCCGCTAAGACACTGCTTCATAGGCTGGGACCACATGGGAGGCCAAGGTTCAGTTTCTAGTCCAACCTGAAGGTAGAGTGCAATGACCTGTGTCTTTAATCCCAGCCTCTGAGGAGGCTAAGGCAGGAGGATCAAGAGCTCCAGGCTAGTCTGGGCAACCTAACAAGACACCATCTACAAAAACAACTGGGCCTGGTGGCACATGCCTGGAGACCGAGCTGAAAGGCTGAGGCAGGAAGATCCCAACACCAAAACCCTATATATAAAATATATATATATATATGGAACCAGCAAGTGGTGTGGTGATTAAGATGCTAGATTCCCACATGACCAACTGTGGTTCGAGTCCCAGATCTGGCAGCTTAAAAATCATGCTGGGCATGTGTGTGTACATACCCCAAATTCTGAGAGGCGACTGGAAGAGAAAGGATTGCAATATGGCCATTCCCCTTGGGGTGTGATTTCTCACTTTCCCCCCCTCTCCAGCGAGTATACTTACTCTATGGCAAAAACAAACATAAGAAAAACCAAAACATAGAAATCATTGAATAAAATTACCTTCAGACTGGGAACCAGCAGTTAGCATAATGGCTATGTCGCTGGACTCCCACGTAGTCAAGCGCGGTTCACGTCCTGGACCCAGTGGCTTAAAACTCATGCCGGGCACGTGTGCGTGCATGCCTAAGATCCCAGGAGGAGAATGGAGGAGAAGGGATTGTGGCGTGACCATCCCCCCGGGGGGTGATTTCTCGCTTTCTGTCTCTATGTCTCTCTCTGTCTGGCAAGCGCACGCGCCCTATAGCGAAAATCCCTCCACAAAAAAAAAAAAAAATTACCTTCAGACTGTGTGTGTAAAGTATATATGAAACAAATAAATTGTTTTTAAGCATGAGTCCCATTCCCAGGATATCTCATTATATGTATCCAAATATTCCACAATCATTAAAAAATCTGAAACATTTCTGATTCCAAGAATTTCGGATAAGGAATAGTCAACCTTTGTAATTTAACAGTTTTAGATAAAAGTTGGTATTGGGGGACCAGCAGTTAGCGTAATGGCTATGTCACTGGACTCCCATGTAGTCGACCACGGTTCGAGTCCCGGACCGGGTGGCTTAAACTCATGCCGGGCACATGTGCATGCATGCCCAAGATCCCGAGAGGAGAATGGAGGAGTAGGGATTGTGGTGTGGCCATCCCCCCTGGGGGGTGATTTCTCGCTTTCTGTCTCTCTGTCTCTGTCTGTCTGGCAAGCGCACATGCCCTATAGCAAAAAACCTCTCCAAAAAAAGAAAAAGAAAAGTTGGTATTGGGACTAAATCTAAAGAAAAGGGGTTGGGGGAACCGCCATCTTCCAGTAATTAAACAAAATGACGAACACAAAAGGAAAGAGGAGAGGCACCCAATATACGTTCTCTAGGACTTTTAGAAGACAT